CTTGATTTTTCTGTTAAATGTTCTGAGATGCGTTCCTTCTTCCTTAAGCGTAATTATCCTGCTCATGTTATTGATCACGTCATTCGCAAACTTTCTACCATTGATCGTACCAACGCTCTCACTTCTCACAATCGTCCCTCTAAAGCCTGGTTTTCCGCACTAGCGACGGAAGCAGAAGCGTAAGATGTCTTATGTTCCTATGAAAATCAAACAACGGAGACGTAAGCAGAAGCAGAACATCGACAGAAGCATAAGCAGAAGGAACGGCAGGTTTCCTTTTTCTTATGCTTCTGCTTCTGCTTCCGTCCTTCCGTCGCTAGTGAAAACCAGATTCTTATGCTTCCGTCGCTAACATGCAGAAGCACAAGGTGGTAAGCCAATCAAATTCTCGTACTCAGTTCCCTGCACGGGAAACTTCATATTGTTTTTCTTATGCTTCCGTCACACTCATTTTCACTAGAACATAACGATCTTATGCTTATGCTCATGCTTATGCTTCCGTCGCTTATGTCGCTAGGGAAAACCAGCCTCAATGATCGCAGTCCTTTCACTCTTACGTACCATCCTATTAATAACTCCATTAAACCCATTATTAACCACAACCAAGAGAATATGAAGTAAGAGAAGGAATCCCCGTGCCCTATCATGTGCACACTTTGATGCTATTTTTAGAATCTATTCTAAAAATATCATCCAATGATATCATTTATTTGATCGTTTGATTTTCTGCACGCGCATAGTACGCGCGCGCTCTACACTGCTTGCTAATATTTTCTTGTGCTTTTCTTATGTTCATGAATGTTCTGCCCTCAAGATAAAAAAATAAAAAATAAAAAGTAAAAAATAAAAATGGAAAATAAATGTAAAAATACTCCAGAAAGTTGAACAAATTACTACTTCAATTTTCTGTCGTATTTGCCAAGCTTTCGACGTGCACATTCATATCCAGGACAGAGTCGAAATAGCGGAAAACCCCCAAAAACGTAAGCAAACAGCGTATAGCGCGCGCAGTAAATGCGCGTGCAGAAAAATAAATGGTTTAAAAATAGCATCAAACTGTGCACATGATGGTTACAAGGCTGTATAGGGGGAATTCCTTCTCTTTGTTCATTTTCTCTTGCCACAACTTTTCTCTGCTTGACTCCGATACTCGCACTTCTGCTAATTTCAACAACCGCCCTCTTTTTTCCTATAAACGTGATCGTAATCTTCGTTCTTTCTTAGTCAAGGAAGTTCTTCCCTCTGACGAAGAACCTGGTACTTTTCGATGCTCTCGCAAACGTTGTTATACTTGTCTTCATATAGCTTCTCACACTTCTGTTGTCGGTCCTAAATCCACTGTTAAAATCACTGACCATTTTGTTTGTACCACTTCTAATGTTGTATATTGTATCAAATGTACCCGCTGTAATCTTTTGTATGTGGGCGAAACTGGCCGCCGTCTTGGTGATCACATTCGCAATCATCTTTATGATATTCGCAATAACGATCCCACCAAACCAGTTTCCCGCCATTTTAATCTAGCTAACCATTCTCTTTCTCACTTCATTGTTTTAAGTCTTTAATTTTTTGACTAACGGTAACAATGATCGTCGCAAGACCAAAGAAATGCGGCTTATTCACCTATTGGGCACTCTTAGTCCCAATGGGATTAATGAACGCTTTGCTTTTAACTAACCCACTCTTTTGTCTTTGTATTGTTTCTTTCGTTTCCTTGCCTACCTTGTTCTCATTGGTTTCTTTTGTCTTATTCTATCATATATACACTCCTTTCTACCACCTCTTTCTCTTTTACTCCGACGAAGGACTAGCGTACGAAATGTCAGTAAGTTCTTTCATCTTTTCACGGTGCAAAATTTACCCTTTTATCATTACTGAATATTCAAGATAATGGCTAAGGTGTTGCACATTTCTCGTTCCGAATGCGGATATAAGCTAAAAGGTCTCATCCAGAATAACATTTCTATCTGATCGATCGGATAACAGTGGTTGTATAAAATAAGTATTGGAAGAAAATATCTCTTTTTGGTTATCACTAAGATCTTTTTTCCCTAATACATTTTATTATATTCAACCAGAGCTAAAGGTTGTACATATACCATGGTAGCCCCTAGCAAGCGTTCACCAAGAGCCTATTCAACAGCGCATCGCACTGATTCTAAAAATAGCTTGAAGATTCGGACAAACATTGCATTCTGTTTAACCGCTACGAGGATTATACGAACCGATTTTATTATTTTTACTTAAAGTTACAATAATAACCCATGTAAACTAAGATCAACTGCGATCGGCTGTGAAAATTATCTGCGGAAAGTAAACTTGTAAGTTTGTTTGTCCGAATTTCGCTTTTTTGTCTTCGTTTTTATGACGTCACGACTGCGCTGCGCTACTCAATATATGAGCATCTGCTCACGTGACCACTCACGTGCATGGGCTTTGTGAATTTCAATTACCAGTCAATGGTATTTTTTAACGCGACTAATTTTAATTACTGCTCGTAAATAAATCCAATCAACTTGTATATTTATTTTCACCACAGTTACCCCAATCCTGGCTTGCCTTTTGGTCTGCGGTTTTCAGTGGAGGAAGAGACTTATGCTACTAAATTAGTTTTGAGACAAACTGGGGTACCTGTGTCGAGTCCTCTATCACATAAAACTTTGTCTGTCTATAGTGCTATAGTTGGAATGCAAAACGTATGATTCAGCTGCAGATCTCTGCGAACTGTTATGATCATCCATCTTTGCAACTGATGCACCACTTCGACAAGAATGGTTGCGAAATGAGGCTCGCTCGCTGTAAAACGATCGTTGTTCGGTCAAGAGATCGTGGTATTCTTTACCCATCACGCATGCGCAGATGTACAAAAACAATTTCTTGAATGCACTTCTGAAATCCTTGTTCATGCAAGTGTAGATAATCGGATTTAACACACTATTGACGTAATGCATCCATTTGCCTACCAATATAGACTCATTAGGTAGAGGTCGGCAGCTTTTGCACAAACCATACACCAAGTTCAACACAAAGAAAGGACACCAGCATATGACAAATGCCCCGATTACCACCCCCACGGTCTTTGCAGCCTTGAGCTCACGCGATAGAAGGAAACGTTTGGGCTTGCCTTCCACGGTGAAGATCATCTTTTTAATCTGATGTCTCGCATTCTGGAAGATTTTAACGTAGCATATAGTCATAATTATGAGGGGAATGACAAAACAAGAGATCGTTACTGTTAACTCGTATATTGGCGGTGGATACTCCCAAAGAATTATCTTCAAACTCGCTACTGAACAAGAAAACATCCAAATACATGCGATAGATATCTGGACTTTCCCAGTAGTGACGATAACCTGGTGTTTGAATGGGGTCGATATGCAAATACATCTCTCGAGGCTGATAAAACAAAGATGAATAATAGATGCCCCACCACAGAGGATATCCATGAAACTCCAGAACTGTTGAAGCCAAAGATATTTGATTGCTGAAGGACCTTTTATGAGATATGTTGCCCAAACTGGCATGGACATCAAAGCTACAAGTATATCCGCGATAGCTAAAGATACAATAAAGAAATTTGTGACCGTACGCAGTTTGTGAAATATCTTGAACGCGTAGAGGACAAAGAGGTTGCCGACCAGCGCCATTATCATGATAAGAATGAGAAAAGTTGAAGATACCAACGTAGTGGTTAGATTTGCTTGATAAGAAAGATCAATGGAACTGTTCTGACTTTTGTTAGACATGACGGTCTGAAAAACAAGAAAAAAAATACCATGTAGAATTCGGAATAAAATGAATGCGAAATTTATACCAAATAGTAAAGCGTTTTACCTGGCTCGTCAGAAAAGTATGTATATTTCAGACGCCGCCCGATGTTCTAAGTTTGAAGTTGAACGAAACTATATCAAAATGAACCAGTGCTCAGGAAATCTTTTAAGTATTCTTTCTCCAAGATCAACAAACATATATCGTATTCATTCGACACACAAACACTCCCAACAGATAACGCAAAATGGGTTTCATTTGATATCGTATAGGATAAAAGAAAGACCAGCAAAATATCCGTAAGACTTCCCCCGAATCCATTAGATAATAAGGGCTGAGTGCTGTACTTAGGTGGGTCCTTAGTACCAATATTATTCAAATCACAGACTTTAACTGGATCATTAAGAGAAAATCCAGTGTAGTTTAGTTACGAAGCTCCTGACAAAAGTATATTAGTCTTGATGCTGCTAATGGACTGAGAGGCGTCCAACCGTCTGTGATCGCAGCATCTGGCGATTGTACAATAGACAAAACGATGTTTTTATTGAAAAGCCATGTATTATCAGCCTGAATTGACTAAAACGGTCGAAATGGTACACACATTCAAAAAACTACTGAAAAATGCAGGTTAATAGTTCATGATTAAGTTGAATAAGGTCTATTTTGTTGTAACAAAAGAAAGAGAGAAAGAGAGAAAGAAAGAAAGAAAGAAAGAAAGAAAGAAAGAAAGAAAGGAA